CAAGCCAGACCTCTATCATGTCTTCATTCTCTATCTGGCAACATGCACGGAATTAGGACCATTTGTGTGAAGGTCAGACATACTATCTGTGTCTGGCTGGGTGGGTGGTCTGTCATTTAGCATGTGGAGGGGGTTAGAGTATGTATGTGCATGCAGAGCTCAGGGTCATGACCTGTGACCTCAGAGGAATTCTTCTATGGTAGTACTTTCACTCTGCCTCTCTCCATCTTTCTCTTGAAACACTCTCCATGCACTCACTTGTGTTTAGAGATGAACACAGACTAGCCCTGCCCTCCCTGATGAATTACCCTGTCCTCGCTTCCAACATGCTGTTTCATATATCCATTACTCTGCCTGTGCTTTGGAATTCACTGCTCTGGCAAGGGGGGGCTTTTATTTTCCCATGTGGGTTATAGAGAGGGTGATGGTGCCCTTCAGGAGCAGTCACTGACAAGGACTTCTAGCCGCCGTGAGAGCTATGACTCTTTTCTGTCAGTAAAGGTATAAGAAGTGTGACCTTGCCGTTGAACTTGCACATCCTGCACATTTTCTTGTTTTTCATTTTCTCTCTTACCTTTTAACTTTCAGTTGGCTGTAGTAAAGTCTTAGTCATGAACATTCGATACATTTCTCAAAACTATGAACAGCTTAAATGAACACACAAGGCCATTTGGCCCACTATAGATGTTAGATTCAAAACAATATGCTTGGAGCAAAGTCATATATAGTGTTAACTACTTTACAACTAGCTTAAATCTGGCTCAGTTTGATGAGTTATACAATACTTTTGCAGCCGCTTTTTCTTACATTTTATCAATTAATTGACAAAACTTTGTAGAAATCTGTTTTGACTTTGACATGAAAGAAATTCATGTAATGAAGTAATTTGTTGTAAATTCTTGTAGAAATATTGTAAAGGGCTGCACGGTGGATCGGTGGTAAGTGCCGTTGCCTCGCAGCAAGAAGGTCGCCGGTTACTTTTTATAGGCATCGTATCTTATAGCTTAATAAGCGAGTACGACAAACTCAGCTAGATTTTAACAAGCTGAACTAACTTACCATTAGCTACCAGCTAATTTAGCTAGCCAGCTACACATAGCTGCAACATATAGCTTTATGTTCGAATGCTCAAAAATTGGCAGAGTCCTAATGCTAATCTCTACAGTGGTATCAATGCTTTTAATATTGCCTCCAGAGTATCACTAAACCCAGTGATTTTTGCTTTGGATGTCTGGAAACTCATCGAAATAGAAATTAAATACAGCTTTCCCTCACATATGTATGAAGTAATTTTTTTTTATATTATAAAATTAAATGATCAAACGGATCAGAACCAGAGCCAAGTGGATCATTACAAACCTAGATTAAATTGAATAAATTATATTATTTTTTAAGTTTTTTTTTGGTTTTTTTTAATTAAATGTCCATAAATCAAAATTTACAAGGAAATGTATTATTAACAGCCCTTTAACTCCAGATCAGTCAGTCAGTGTGAGAGCTTCTAAGTTTAGACAGATCTGAGTCATGACCATAGCTTTAATTAAACCTTACTTTGAAGGCATATATAATTATAGCCATCAGGATTTAATGAGGGATAAACCACAAACACACTCCTACTACCGCCTAGTCAAATAACTAGCCTAATATTACCAGACATAATAGCTGTGAAATTCTAACCACTGACATGTTTGTTACAATACCTTGGGAAATGATACATTCTGCTATTTTGTGTCAGCTTCTTGGCCCAAGGGGATGTTAGAATTAGTGGGCCAAAATAATATATTCATCCATCACAAGCGACATGAGGTTAGACATCAGGTAATGATTTATCTTATCAGTAGGTTTCATGACAAGATTTATGAAATTATAGTAATTAGTTCATTAGCTCGTCACTGGTTTGAACAAGGAGAGCTTTCGTGCAGTCAGGAAGTAGGAG